TTCTCTCTGTGTAATTTTTTAAAGGAGTTTGTGCAGTTAATGGTCTGTTATATGTTGTTGGAGGGGACGATGGTTCCTGTAACTTGGCGTCAGTAGAATATTATAACCCAACAACCGATAAATGGACAGTTGTGTCATCGTGTATGAGCACAGGGAGAAGTTATGCAGGTAACTGGTCTCTAAAGTCAATTATCATACGAAAAGATGACCTCATTATGGTTTTTATATTAACCAAGTTTTTCTGTTATAAGAATAAAGTCTTTTCTGAAGGTATAGTTTATATCTTACTCTTAAGATGATTAACATTGGTTGTGTATATTCTGAAATAAAGCACCAGTATACTTTTGTCATTCTGCAGTCATTTGTATTCAAAATCCCAAGTCTTTGATATACAAAATCATATAATAAAATTTAACGTAGCTAAAATCTGTATGCAGAGAAGAAGAATTCACTATGTGGCAAGGCTTTAATTCCTGAGATGTCCGAGAAATAGGATAGGATTCCTATGTCTCCCCGTGGTGCGGCTCCATGAGACAGTATTATAGTGAGGCTGTGGAATAATTTTTCTTTCTTAAGCATAGTACTGGTTGAGTTATAAAATGTGATTTTTTGTTCCATCCTCTTAGTAAGATAAATTATAATTTTAATAAATTTTATCATGAATCTTTAAATTGTTTTCAGTGATATTTATCTGGCTTTTAATAGTATAATATTTCTGTAACAAAATTGATCCAATAGTGGAGGAAGAAAATGTCTAAACTAATTAACCATCACTGTTGCTTATGTATCATTCAAAACAGCACTTAGAAGAACTATGTACAGTAGAATTCCAATATAACATGGCTGAATACTAGATTAATTTTTAAAACAACTTCATTGAGGTATAAACTGACAGAATACATAGCGTACAGTTGACCCTTGGACAACACAGGTTTGAACTGTGTATGTCCACTTATATGTGGATATTTTTTGAAAAATAATTATGTTGGAAAACTTTTTTTGGAGATTTGTAACAGTTTGAAAAAACTCAGATGAACTGCATAACCTAGAAATATTGAAAAAATTAAGATTATGAACACATAATATATGTAGATATTAGTCTGTTTTATCATTTACTACAAAATATCCAAAAATCTATTACAAAAAGTTAAAATTTATCAAAACGTATGCACACAAACTCTTACAAGAACAAACACCTACAAACCATAGATGGTGTCATTCACAGTCCAGAGAAATGTGAACAAACCACAAAGATACAATATTAAATCATAACTGCATGAAATTAACTGTAGTATGTTACTGTACTACTCTAATAATTTTATAGCCGTCTCCTGTTGCTGCATTGGTGAGCTCAGCTGTTGTGAGTATCCACTTAAAAAGCTGTGGGGCGCTAATCACCTTTGAAAGAGCAGTTTGTCTCTTCAGCGAGTATCTCAGTAAAAAGTTCTCTCTCATGGTTCTGCGTTATGTTTCATCATGTTTACTGCAATATCATAAACCTTGAATAACACCACGGGACCCATGCAAAGTGCCACTGGTGATGATGCTGGGAAGTGCTCCAGCAAGCAGAGAAGAGTCATGACATGACAAGGAAAAGCGGAATTGCTTGAGATAAACCATGGACTGAGGTCTGCTGCTGCTGCACTTGCCCACCATTTCAAAATAAATGAATCCAGGGTCGGGATCATTGTAAAAAGGAAAAAGGAAATTCATGAAGCCATCCTTGCAGCCATCCCAGCAGTTTTGAAAACTTCACACTTTTTGTGAAATCCCTTTTTATCTTGTGTTGAACATGCAGCTTTTATGTGGGTGCAGGATTTTTCTTTTTGAGACAGAATCTCACTCTATCGCCCAGGCTGGAGTGCAACAGCGTGATCTCAGGTCACTGCAACCTCCGCCTCCCAGATTCAAACGATTCTCATGCCTCAGCTTCCTGAGTAGCTGGGATTACAGGGGGTGCCACCACGCCCGGCTAATTTTTAAACTTTTATTATTTTTGATTTTTTGGTTTTGGTTTTTGGTGGGTGCAGGACTGCTATAAGAAAGGCATACTTGTCAACTCTAAGATGATTTGAGAAAAAGCAAAGTCATTATATGACAACTTGAAGCAAAAGGAAGGTGAAGGATCTGAAACTGGAGAATTTCCTCAGCCTACTAAAGCAAAGGATGACTTGATAATTTTGGAAAGGGGTTTGGCTCAAAAAATGTCAAGATAACAGGAGAAGCAGCTTCTGTCAACCAAGGGGCAGCAGATAAGCTCCCAGATGCCATTAAGGAAGTTGTTGAGGAGAATGGTTATCTGCCTGAAAAAGTTTTTAATGCAGACAAATGTGCCACCAAGGACATTTATTACGAAGGAAAGTGAGCACCAGAATTTAAGGCAGAAGGGGATAGGCTAACTGTACTATTTTGTGCAAATGCAGTTGGGTTTATGATTTGGGCTGCTCTTATCTAAAAAGCTGCTAACCCCCAATCCTTGAAGGGAAAATATAAATACCAGCTGCCAGTCTTTTGATTGCATAACAAGAAGACCTAGACAAGAACTCTTTTCCTGGATTGGTTCCATCTGTGCTTTCTTCCTGAAGTCAGGAATTACCTTGCCAGTAAGGGACTGCCTTTTATTTTGATACTGGACAGTGCCATTGGCCACCCAGGACCCCATGAGTTCAACACCAAAGGCATAGAAGTGGTCTACGTGCCCTTAAACACAATGTGTCTAATTCAGCCTCTAGATCAGGGACCAGAGGAACCTTAAAGTTCATTCTATATGGCACTCTATGGAAAAAATTGCCAATGCTATGGAAGAGAATCTCAACAGAGAAAACATGAAAGTTTGGATGGATTACACCATTGAATATATCATGGTTGTTATAGAAAAAACTATGAAAGTCATCAAATCCAAAACAATAAATTCCTGCTGGAAAAAAAAAAACCTGTGTTCAGATGTTGTGTATGACTTCACAGGAGTTATGACAGAGCCAGTCAAAGAAATCATGAAAGAGATCGTGGATGTGACTATAAAGGTTGATGGTGAAGGATTTCAGGTATGGATCTTGGAGAAATTCAAGAGCTAATAGATACCAAACCAGAGAAATTAACAGAACATGACTCAACGGAGATGAGTGCTTCTTAACCACTGCCAGACAATGAAGAAGACGTAGAAGCAATGCCAGAAAACAAACTGACATTAGACAGTCTGGCAAAAGGGTTCTGGTTATTCAAGACTGTTTATGACTTATTTTATGAAATGGGCCGTTCTATATGTGCACTGTAACTGAAGAAAGTGGTGGAAGGAGGATTGGTATTGTATGGAAACATTTTTAGAGAAATGAAAAAAACAAAAAAGTCAGGAATTACAGTGTATTTCCTTAAAGTTGCACCAAGTGTGTCTGCCTCTCCTGTTTCCCCTGCCTTCCCTTCCACCTCCTCCACCTCTTCCGCCTCTGCCACCCCTGAAACAACAGGACCAACCTCTCCTCTTTCTCCTCCTCCTCAGCCTACTCAATGTGAAGAGACAAGGATGAAGACCTTGATGATGATCCACTTCCCCTTAATGAATAGTAAATATAGTTCCTCTTCCTTATGACTTTTTAAATAACATTTTCTTTTCTGTAGCTTACTTTAAGAATACAATATATAACACATAACATGTTATGACATATATAACATATATTACATGTAAAATATGTTAATTGACCATATCAGTAAGGCATTTGGTCAACTGTAAGCTGTTAACGGTTGAATTGTGCGGGAGTAAAAAATTGTACATGGGAGGGTCAGCACTCCTGACCCCCATGTTGTTCAAGGGTCAACTGTATATTTAAAGTATATAATTTTATTACTTTTGACATAGTATATACCCATGAAACCATCACCACAATCAAGATAATGAACATATCCGTCACGCTCAAAAGTTTCTGTGTTCCCTTTTGAGTATGTTTTCCAAATTGTAACTACAAAGAGGAAGAGACTAGTTCTGGATTAAATAGTCTTATATTTAGTCCATAACTAAACAGAGATTTCACTGTTATTTAGATTAAAATGATAATACTACTAAAGTTTAAGAAAGAGATTCTGAAACATGATTTGTATGGTTCCTCCTGCTTTCGTATTATAATAAAGAATTGAGTGTCTTCTCAGAGATACAGAATGCTGCCTGTGACTTCTTTTTTATCTCTTCATTTCTTTGCTCAGGGGTCACAGTTATTGATAAACCATTATGAGCCTGAAGGACATTTTCAGCATATTTATACATGAGAAACAGCCTTCAACAAGTATTTCTGAAGTGACTGAGAATCTAGCACTTCTCCACTTGTAGCTGCACTTTACGTCTCAGCAGAAGATAAGATCGTCTGCCTTTATAGGCCTCGGATACTGAAGATTATTTTTGGTAGAAGCACCGTGTAGGCTTTTTCTGCAATGAGCAGCAGCTGACTGAATTTTCATAAGAAACTTGGACTGCAGGACTTAATCTGTAGTCTTTAGACAACAGTTGCTTTCATAAAGACTAGTTCTTACCAACCTTGAATGACTACGGATTATTTTGTGAAGGAGGATGAAATGATGCGTGTTCTTGTAAAATTAAATTTTATCTTTATTTCTTCTAAAAATCTGTATACCAGGAACTGAAAATCTTTGAACAGATATTAAAATCTACGTAAGTATACAAACTAGTTGAGGGATAAACTGTTTGCTTTTATAAAATAACTTTGATTACATGAATATAATAAATTATGTGCATATAAATGTGTGTCTATATGCTTTCCTTTAAATATGTTTGAAAAGATGTTTGAAACTTGATTATACTATTTATAATTGGCACAGTACTTTGAATTATGCCAGTACTACATTGTAAAACAGAGTTGTATTTTTTGATATTTAACAATGCTTAACACTTTAAATGCCACTTCTGAGGAATGGACCTGGTGTAACACACTTGAATATGTGTGATGCCAAACTTTTTAAAATAAAATATAAATTATGCTTATTTATTAATTTTCTTTAGTTTAATCTTGGTCATGTTTTGGTGTGTATTTTTAATTTTTTTCTCAAATTAACACTTTGGCATGAACATTACTGCAGGTTTTTGATGAATATAATGAATGTATGGAATTCAACTGAATTTGCATGGTCTTAAGAATTTTTCTGTGTGTATAAATTTAGCTGCTATTAACAGAAGAGAGAACTTTCTGTCAGTAGCCATGTGTGTTGATCAGATACAGTTTTTCTGAGATCTTCAATTAATCTCACTTTAAAAATGACCAAAACATGTCCTTCTTGAATTATCTTTGAATAAAGGTTTGTATATTATTTGTTTCACAGTGTTCTTGATTTTTATCTATTTAGTTTTGTATTAAGAAAGTTTCCTGTTAGTTTGTTTTTGGCTCTTTTATGAAGTTTGCATTTTGTCACTTCAGAAGTCTGCATTTTTAATTTATTGCCAAAGTGACCTGACCTATAAGACAAAACTATTAAATGAATAACCAAAGTCAATAAAAATGGTTCTCTTTCCAAGGAAAAGTAACCTCAACTATCAAGGAGAGGTCTGTCAAGGATTGGTAAAGTTTAAACTTCTTGTATTTTTGTGTCCCTGATATGGGTAGGGCATGAGATAAGGATAAAACAAGTAGCATTAGACCCAAAAGAAAGTCAAAGAAAAAATATATTCCAAAGTAACTGAGAAACTGTGGTTTTGATACCAAATAAAAGGAATTGAGGAAATAGGAATAGTGGAGTCAGGTAGGCAGCTGGGGTGCTGGCACAGCAGAGGAAGGGAAGAGGGGGAAGGAGGAGGTGATGGAATATTGTGACCATTCCTCAGGAATTAAAAAAGTTGGCATGAGCTGTTGCTAGAACAGTTGATAATCAAGAGGAAAGATTGCTATGATAACATTTCAATTCAAATGTAAACATGGAACCATATTTCATACTTAGTTGAACTTTCCATTATAAATGAATTTAATCAGAAAAAGCCTATGCTGAGTTGATGAAAACATGAATTTCTGCCTTCGTGTGGCCTTACAGCACATCATTGTCAAAAAAATGTTGAAGGTCTAATGAACTTGGAGTACTGTCAGCTGTTTCTGACAGAGGCACCAAGAAAAATGTATGAGGTGTCTTTCCTGATCAGTTCCAAACACTAATGTTTCATGAAACTGTATGACTCTATCAACAATTTATCTGAAAAATTATAAAGCTTTTCTTAAAATGTAATCTCAGCCTATTCAAGTAACAAAGTCTTAACCACATAGCATGTCAAATACCTCTGTCTTTACTTTCTTAATCTTTGAAGCTTTAATAGCTACACTGTAATTTGCCAAGGTTTGTCAGTAGCTGGATTCATATCTATGACTTCAGAGACTTTAGACATATCTCCTTCCCCATGCCAACCTTTCTCTTTCCAGTTTGAAATGTTTTTAAAGGCACATATGGACGTGTTCTCAGCCTGTTCCATTACTGTATGAAACGTAAGAAGTTAAGGCAGAGAGGTGTCTTAGAAATCCTGTCAAGGAGGCAGCCCCAGGTTTGAGCAGCGTTCAAGGCTGGATCCACATACCTGCGTTGTGAAGCAACTCGTCTGCCTGCTTTGTTTGGATCTATGCCTTCTTGGCTGAAAGCAGTGATGACTATGATGAAGGCAGATGGTGTATTTACTGTCAGAAGACTATCAGTTTGCTCCCTGTTTCTTATGGAGTCTTGTGTATGATTCCTGGTATTTATTATCTCTTTTGTTCCTTATAGCATGAAGACCCAGGTATTTGTAATCCCAACTGCTGATGCGTTATGAGACTTATTTTATCAGACATAAAAGGGTCATGTGATATTACATAGCAGTGTGCTGATACCATCTTGTTTCAGTTTTGTCTCAAGCAAATTTACTCCTACTGACTTACATGGCTGCCAGTGTCTCATTTTGGAGAGGAGGCTACATTGGAGAATGGAACCATACTTTGAGTCAGGATTCTGGGGTTCTAATCCTGGCTTTAAGGAAAAAAGCAGTGTGGTATATTGGAAAGCCCATGGGCATAGAAAGAAAAGGGTTCTGGGTTTGCAGCTCCCTCTATCAATTGCTAGCTGTGACTTTCAACACATCACTTAACCTCCAGCCCTTATTTTGTTTTTAAAATGGCAGTAGTGTCTGTGTCACAAGGTTATTGTTGCATTTGAAAGAAATGATGCATGTTCGTATGCCTGAAATCCAGAGGGCCCTCAATAAATTACAGCTATTGTTCCCTGAGCTCCTGTTAATCTTCATTGTAGGTAAATAAGTAAGTTGAGCTGCTGCATGAGCATTTTTTTCCAGCTCTAAGCCTTTAAGGTTTAAAATAATCTGACCTCTCCATACACCTACACCTGCTCTGATTTAGAAAATGTAATACTATGGTAGAATTCCAAATTAGAAATAATTACTGACATTTACTGATCATATCTTATATGCCAGAGACTGTGCAAAGGACTTTACATACATTATGTAATCATCATAAAGAACTCTTTGAGGTGTAGGTATTATTATTTTACAGAGGTATCAGATAAGACAGAGAAGTAACTTACCCACTGCTGATAAAATGCCAAGCCTAGAAGTCTGGCTCGACAGTGGGTGCTATTGATGCTTACCTGATAGGGGATAGCAGATTTGGGCAGAGAGAAAAGTTGGGTGAAAGTTCAGTCATCACACAACCAATAGGATGGGGACCTCTGGAGCTGGGATGCCCAAGCAAAGTAGTCCTACATTGGTTTAAGGGCTTTTATACCCCCGTTTCAACCAGTTACTTGACTAGCTGTTCCCCAGAAAGGGGGTATACCCATGGGGAGAGGTGCTTCTCTTTGGCAGTACTCAGCAGCTGGAGGAATGCCTGCTTAGGTCTTGAAGAGGGGGATCTGGGTGGTGTGCCACAGTATCCACTACAGGACCAACAGATTCATATGCCCACTGCACAGTATACACTGAGACAGCAAGATTTGCAGCAGAGAAAGAGTTTAGTGATGGCAGGGCACTGAGAGGAGATGGGAGGAGACCCTCAAATTTATCTCCTCGAGGAGTTCTGTATTGGGGTTTTTAAGGGGATCCTGGAGGGCAAGAGGCTGGAAAATTAGGGTCGTTGATTGGCTCAGGTAAGGGGGATGAAATCATCAGGATGTGGGAACTGCATTCTTTGGTGAGTCAGCTCCTGGTGGTCCTTCAGACCAGCTGAGTCAGTAGTTTCATCAGCATGAAGGACCTGAAAGATTATCTCAAAGCACAAACTCAACATTTCATAATGTTCAAGTTGTCTGTAGAGCAGTTAGGGGAAACTATAACCTTGTAACAGGGTCTACATGATTCTGAAGCAACAGGCAAACAATTATGAGGAAGGGATCAGACAGCAAGTTGACCTAATGATTAATCCTCAGTGTGCCGCAAGCTTGGTTTATTTTCGTTCCCCCCACCCCTTTTTCCCAGATTAATTTGATGAACTATGTAGGGACGGTTTCAGACACCACTCTAAAGGCATCCTAAAGACAGGGCTGACACAATCAAGGGACAGATCCCATTTCATTTGACGTGACCTCTGTCATGATACTTTAGAAAGAATGTGTGTGCCAAACATAAGGGGTAGACGAATGAGTACAGGTCACACTGAATCTAAAAAACACTTTTCAGGAGGGAACTTCCTCAAGGAGATAGCACCTGAATTGATGGGGCGGCGTGGAGATGGCTGATTATTCCAGGCAGAAGGGCCAGTTTAAGCAAAAGTATGGAGGAGTGAAACAATAGTATTCTGTTTTCAGAAGCTGTGTAGATTTGACACTATACATAATCAAAACATCACATGTGCGCCGTAAAAACAATTTTTGTAAATTATACCTTAATAAAGATGGAGGAAAAAGGGCCTTCACTAGCCCAAATGATGCCCCTGTGCGGTTTTTTCTTTAAAGGCCCCTTTTCCTTTAAGTGAAAGTTTTAGTATAGTATGCATCTGTACACAGTTTTATTATTATACCCCAGTACACAATATTTTAATGTTGAGAGATGGCGTAAACTGAGCTTAGAGCTGCAAAGACCTGCGTCAGGCCCCCGCCCCTGGGCCCTCATCGTCCAGCACAGCAACTGCAACATCACCTGGGCGTTTTCAGCTCACGTAGCGAGGTCAAGGTCCTGGGAGCCGAAATCTCCCTTGATGTTCAATCTTTTTAAATCTTTCCCAGCCTCTATTTCTCATCTGCAAAATGACGATAATCGCATTTGAAATTCTCCGTTTTCAAAATACAGGGATTTATTAAAGGATACGTAGGCTGGGGAAACAAGGGAGACGAAAGATCTAAATCTAAAAGGTAGACCAGAAAAAGGCAAGGGTGTCTAGAAACACAGAACAGTCAACATAGATTTTAAGACTCATTTATACTCTTTTCCTCCCGGGTTTGGGAGTTGCGGCTGCTACACAGGTCACAGTTGAAATAAAAGTCCTGGGACGGCGGCTGGCGCGACACTCTCGCCCCAGCACAGCGCAGGCTCTGGCTGCCAATCTGCGGGGACCGCAGTTGCCAAGGCGACTCCGCGCGGCAGGGCAGGGCGGCCATCCGTCTGTGCCCGCCCCCTCACGCCGTGACGCGCTCTCACGCTTCCGCGCCTCCTGGCGCCCCGCGACGCCTGCCATTGGCTGGCCCTGCGGGTCTCACTATCCTCACTCCATCCGCGGAGCCAATGGCTGGGACCGCCAGGGGCTCCTTCGCGCGAGTCACACGATGTCGGCAACTGCACAGACCAATCACCGCGCCGAGAAGACGGGGCGGGAGCCCTCGCAGGCCAATAACGACAGGACTGACCGCCTGGCCCACCGGGCTCCACCCCCGAGCCGGGCGAGGCAAGTTCCGAGGTCGGAACACCTGGCTGATCCTCGGTGACGGTGGCCGGCAGTCATCTCGCGGCCGTTCAGGTGAGGGGGTCGGGGGAGTGGCTCGTGAGCGAGGAAGGGGCAGCAGGTGGGCTCCCACCCGGTGCTCCGTGAGATCGAGGGGAGCGGGTTCGGGGTGCGGATGCGCGCGCTGGGCCGGACGCTGGCAGTGGTACCCGAGAAGGGGCGGAGGGAGACTGGAGTGAAGGTGGGCCTAAAGGTACGTGCTAGAAAGGAGGAAAACGGAGTGAAATTCTTCAGTGATGGAACTAGGCTAGGACATGTTTCTTGCCCTTTAAAGAGTGTTGTCTTCGGGAGATGGGACGTAGAAGACAGTTGCAGCACAGGGTGGTAGCTTGGCGAAAGTTATACAAAAGCAGGAAACACTGGAAGGAGGTAAGATGTCATGTGCTTTGGGAGTAGGGGGGTTGGGAAGGGCGTCCGAGAGGAGGTTGCTGAAGGGTGACTAGGAGTTGGATGGGAGGACATCACCTGTAAGGGAACGATATTTCCGTGGGCAGAGAGGAATGAAGCAGTAGCAACCATGGGTGATCAGATACTGTAAAAATGTGAAGTGTAGGATGGCGAAAATGTAACAAATGAAGAGTGAAGAAGTCTGGAAGGGCCTCGTGTGCATCAATCACAGAGGGGCTTGATCTTTATGCTTAGGGCAAGCACTCCCTTGAACTTTGAGTGTTTTAAGGAGCTTTTTTCTTATGTTTAGATTTATATAGATCCTGGCATTGCATCTTAGAGATAAGGTTTAAGAAGGGCAAGCTTGGAGGCAGGGCAAGTCCAGAAAATGAAGGAGCTGGTGAAATCCGTTTTAAAGTGCCAAAGGACAGAGACTGGCTGACAGCTAAACTTCAAGGTTTCTGAGAATCCACAAATAACTAAATTTATCTAGTCAGCCTGCTCCAAAGTACGCTTCCAGTCATTTAGGTTGCCCAAGAATGAGTAAAGCAAAAGGAAATTCAATTTTCCAAGACCTCGTTTCCCCCCTCCTCTTTAATTCCTTATTCAGTTAGCAACAGTATATCCATTCCCTTGCTCCTTTGTGAAAAGTAAGTTCCTGAATGTTAAGTAAACCAAGTGTTTCTAAATTGGGTAAGAGTTTGAAGGCTTAATCAAGGCAGCAGAGATGGGAGAGACTTAAAACGTTATGTCTGAGAATTAAGCATTAAAGGTGGTCTAGCATTTGGGCGGGGTTTGTGAGGAGCACGTACTGAACCTTTGGACCTGCTGAGTGAGTTCGTGTGCCTCTGAACTCTGTGATTGGATATGACCAGTAAACTTGGATAATCAGATCCTGGAGTTTAGGGGAGAGGGCAAGAGGTAGAAAGGATGGATATCAGCGTATTTTTAAAACAGAAAATAGTTAAGATCACCCAAGACCATCTAGAATCGTTAGAAGGGAGTAAGGAAGGCGTTATTGGGAAACTTTCCAGCTTGAATTCTCATATTCTTTCTACTCTCCTGGTTGAGTTTTTGGAGTGCTGTTCTCTCTGTGCAAAACCCCTCCCTTGACCCTGTCTCCCTCGCTCTATTTTTTAACTTGTCACTTTCCTCTCCTGTTCTAGGTCTCAGTTTAGATAGCACCTTTCTCTAGAAGTTCATAGCACTGTGTATTCCCCCCTTTATTGTTCTTATCACCTAATTTTTGATGGTTTGGACACTAGTTGTTATTCCTCACTAAATTTTGTGTTTTGTGAACTCAAGGGTAAGGGCAGCAGCTGGCACAATGAATGCACAATACTTGTCAGAGTGAATGCATTTGAGTTCCAAGAACCAAGGAAAGGCAGTATTTCAAGAAGAGAAATATCAAATCTTCCAGATTAGTCAAATCAAATAAACTCCAAAAACCAAAAAGTTTATTGAGTTTGGCAACTGGAGATCCATAGCGATTTTTTTGTTTGTTTGTTTTTTTGAGACGGAGTCTCGTTCTGTTGCCCAGGCTGGAGTGCAGTGTCGGGATCTCAGCTCCCTGAAACCTCAGCCCCCCAGGTTCAAGCAATTCTCCTGCCTCAGCCGTCCAGGTAACTGGGAATACAGGCGTGCTCCACGACACCTGGCTAATGTTTTTGTATTTTTTTGGTAGAGATGAGGTTTCACCATATTGGCCAGACTGGTCTCGAACTCCTGACCTTGTGATCCGCCCACCTTGGCTTCCCAAAGTGCTGGGATTACCAGCGTGAGCCACTGCACCCGGCCTCCTTAGTGATTTTAGTAAGAGTAAGTTCAGTGCAGTGATGACAATAGAATGCAGAGTGCAGTTGCTAGAATATAAACAGGAGATAAGAAGATAAAGACAAGTCATGTGATATACCTTTTCAGAGGGCTTAGGTAAACTATAGGAATTATTCTCCTTGTACTCTAATACTTATTATGGGTTGTATTTATAACTATAGTATAATATAATGGATGACTGCGTGGGCTTCCCCACTTAGCATTTGTTAAGTTAATCATTAACTTAACATTAAACATTTGTTAATGCCCGAAGCATTAGACTTCAGGCAAGTTGCTTAATCTTTCTAAACCTCAGTTATTTTATCTATAAAATGGGGATAAAATAATACCTACCTCACGAAGGTGTGGTAAGGATTGAAATTAAAATGTAAGAGCATGTAGCATGCTTTGAACACAGTTCTTGGCACAGAAAGTGCCCAATAATTGTTAGTTTCTTGTAGCTATTACATGCCAGGTCCTGTACTGAGTGCTTTATATGCATTATCTCTTGGACTCACTGGAAGACCTACTGTTTTAATTTCTGTTGATGAGAAAACGGCATCACAGAGAGGTTACCAAATTTGCCCAAGGTCACAGGACAGGACTAGTAAGTGGTCTTGGTTCATCATTGTCAAATTTACTAATCACCTTGTGAAAAATTAAGATTGGGTGGTTGTCTTATTTTACAACTTAGAAGATGATTGAAGACATTTTCTTGTAGGTGGGGAGCCAGATTGCAAGTAGCTCAGTGAGTTGTGTGGGTGAGTTAAGCAATCTTTTTTTTTTTTTTTTGAGACAAAAGTTTTGCTGTTCATGCCCAGGCTAGAGTGCAATCTCAGCTTACTGAAACCTCCACCTCCTCAGTTCAAGTGATTCACCTGAACTCCTGACCTCGGGTGATCTGCCGGCATCAGCCTCCCCAAGGTGCTGGGATTACAGGCGTGAGCCACCATGCCCAGCTGAGTTAAGCAATCTTTATGCAGAGCTCTCCTTTGAGAAAGAAGTTGGTTGGTTCAAAGGAAGATAAATGAGACAGTGGCTTGGAAGAGGTAATGGAGGCTAGGAAGGTGTTTATCAACAAAGGAGGCTGGGCACAGTGGCTCACACCTAATCCCCACACTTTGGGAGGCTGAGATGGGAGGATCACTTGAGCCTAGGAGTTTAAGACCAGTCTGGGCAACATAGGGTGACCTATGTCTCCACAAAAAATAAAAATAAAAAAATTAGCCAGGCGTGGTAGTGTATGCCTGTGGTCCCAGCTACGAGGGGCTGAGGTGGGAGGATTGCTTGAGCCTGGGAGGTCGAGGCTCCCAGGTCGAGGCAGTAAGCCATAATTGAGCCACTGCATTCCAGCTTGGGTGACAGAGTGAGACCCTGTCTGGAAAAAAAAAAAAAAGAAAAGAAAAGACGGGAATGTGTTTTTAGACGTGAGGGAATGGATTCCCTGAAGGGAGAAGGATGAAAGATAAGAAAGGATAAGTGATGGACAAGTTCTTGAGGTAAGGTAAGAACACAGGAAGACTGGTCAGTCTCAGAGGAAAGAATGAATGAGCAAAGAAATTTTGAGGCTTGTAATGACACAGGATGGAACACTATAGTCACTGTGGTGTAAGTCATTTGAGATGAGTAGGACAGAAGAAGGAGGGCATGAAGTGAATTCAGATGCCTGAAGGAGTTGGCTAGGTTCTCAATATTCCTTCTGTAGAATGGGATAAAAGGTCAATTTGAGAAGTGTTGGGAAGGGGACTTTTTAAGCACTATTTAGAACGCTTCTGAGGTTTTAAAATACTCATTTTTAAATGGTCCCAAAAAATTCATAAATTAGAAGCAGCAGTGGTGAACATTTTTAGGAAAGTGACTTTTGAAAAGTTTGTATTTTGGTTTGTGACCTATTGAGCTTATTTATTATGTAAGTAGAACATGCTCATTTAAAAGTTTAAATTGTGCAAAAGACATAAATTTTCTTTTCTCTCTTCCATAACACTGCTCCCCTACCCCTCCACACTCCATCTTCCATAACACTCTCCCCTGCCCCTCCACACTGTCTTCCATAAAACTATCTCCTACCCTGCCACACTGTCTTCCGTAACACTCTCCCCTACCCCGCCACTCTGTCTTCCATAACGCTCTCCCCTACCCCGCCACACTGTCTTCCATAACACTCTCCCCTACCCCGTCACACTGTCTTCCATAACACTCTCCCCTACCCCGTCACACTGTCTTCCATAACGCTCTCCCCTACCCCGCCATACTGTCTTCCGTAACACACTCCCCTACCCCGCCACACTGTCTTCCATAACACTCTCCCCTACCCCTCCACACACTGTCTTCCATAATACTCTCCCCTACCCCTCCACATTGTCTTCCATAACACTCTCCCCTACCCCTCCACACACTGTCTTCCATAACACTCTCCCCTACCCTGCCACTCTGTCTCCCATAACACT